TTCTCTCGACGTTTTTCTTTTTTTTTTTTTTTGCAAGCAACCACGGATACCTCCTGATTCTGAGCGATTCATTCCGTACACGTTCCTTTATCTATACATATATGTAAAACTATACGACAGATACGTACGGTATAAAAGATGAAATTTTCTTCTCTCCAAGTTGTCACATAGGGATTATCTTGAATCTAGATTCATCGACGCGATCGACGTAGCCAGACCCAGGGACATGACCAGGAACCATGTGGTCAGCACGGAATACGCCAGCAAATTTTTACCCCCTGAGATCTACAGGTAAGGATAATATCTACCTTACCAATCGCGTTCGATCTTGCTCGCTTACCATTGACACAATTTATCGATTCGAACAAGTTTTTTCCGAAAATGTACTGCATGAATTCGGTTCTCGATAAATATATTTATCGTTGATTTAATCGACGATAAACAACAGATTGTTTCGTTTCGAGTTTTAAAATTTCTTTACGATTTGAAACGATGAATATACTTCCTCTTTATCCTCTTTATTTTACATAGCTTTCGTAATCGATCTCGCTCTAATCTTTCGCTTCTAACGCGCGTTCGAGTTTAATGCTTTCGCATATTTCGAAAACATTCCACAAATAGAAATGCGCCAGTCAGGCGAAGAATGTTGCGCGCCGAATATTTACGTAGAAAACTTTCGATCGTGTCATTCCTTCCGCAAAATTCCTCGCATTCTCGAATACAAATCCGCCCGCTACTTGCGCAGCTATGCGTTACGCGAGCTACGCGTCACGGAGCTTGATTACTTCACATATCTTACACGTATCTTCTAATTTTTTCCAAATATTTATAAATCGTTGACAAAAATACTCGTCCCGATCGAAATTTAAATCACAATTACAAAAAAAAAAGTTGATCAATTTCTTACGTGTATCGAGATAAAATTGGATCCTGCGAATAATTTTCCTTCTTTCTTAAAATTACAATTTGGAAGGAACAAAAAATTAAGTTGATCAATTTGATTTCTCACATATATCTTCAGAAATACCATATTCTTTCTTAAAATTTAGGTTACAGAAGAATTGTACAAGAAGAAAAGAAGTAAAGTTGATCAATTTGATTTCCAAAGTAACTAATTAACAGCTTCTTTATCTCCAAAATCATTTCCGTACACATTGACCTTTCCGAACGTTCCAACAAATCGCTCGAGAAAAAAAAACGATCGAAACGAAATCCCCTCCCTGTTCGCGATTCAATGAATCTAACGATTGGAATCGATTGTTGGGTTGCCAGGAGCCCCGAGGACGGCGCGGCCAGGACGGAAATCGCCGAAATGGAGACAGTTCTGTGATCGTAGAGAGCCGGCCACGATTGCCCACCACGTCAGCGCGATCATAAGCGTCCCTGCGGAGCGGAAAAACTCTCCATTTTTCGACAACGAGTTTTTGCCTCGTCGTCGTCGTCGAGGTCTCTCCATCCCTCGAAAAGAAAGCTTCGAGAGGGAGGGAATCGGTTGATGGGAGAAAGAAGGAGAGGAAAATGGTTCGTCGCACGAGAAGGAACTTCGTTCAGTGCCTATGAGAAACATCGAGATCTACGATCATTCTTCTCAATAAGAAAAAAGGAAGAAATTGGGGGAGGAGAGAGAGAGAGAGAGAGGAAAGAAGGAAAGAAAATTTTCCACGACCACGTTCTTCTTCCGAAAAATAAACGAGGCGTCCTTCTTTGTCACGGGAAGCAGTGTTACACGTTGCGACATCGTGTTGAGGACGCTCGAAATTGTTGTTTTCGAGGCGGTATTTCTTCTTTTTTTTCTTTCTTTCTTTCTTTCTTTCTTTTTCTTTTCGTCTCCTTCCGGATTTTTTTGAAGAGATTCGAGAGAAGAACGATCCGAAGTATCGCGAAAACGTGTGCTCTCTGTGCTGGGAAAAGAGAAAAAGTGTCGGTTTAAGAAAGATCGATTGTATTTTTAACATGGAAGAGGAGAAAGTTAAGTGCGAGATATCGTTCATTGTTTGAACACGTTAATCGCTTGATCACATCATACGTTTTCTTGTTCGATGGACAGGTGTCGCTTGGTTTGGCGAAAATTTTGAAATTTGCGCAAACACGAGAAATCTGTGAAAATGTTTTCCTCCGTGATTCAAATTCTTCGCAATTTTTCGACATTGATTTGCGAATTTATCGATAACCGTTCCAATTGCCTCGATTTTTCCAACAGAATCGTATTTTTGAATCGCGACCCGAATAGTCGAGAACATTATTTATTTCTTTCCTTTTTTTTCTGAGAAATTCGCAACGAGGAGGGGGAGGGGGGAAAAAGGAAAGAGGCGAAAAGGCGTAACTTATATTCAGGCAGCATCAATGCAATAGATAGATAATGAAAATTCCTAGATCTTTTGAGAATCTCGTTAAAAAAAGAAAAAGAAAAAAAACTTTGTACGAAACTCCCGATTTTTCAAAAATAGGGCGTCAAAACAAAACTTGTAGAGGCAAGTTGATAAAGTTCGTTAAAACGAACGTTCGCGAGTATAAAAAAAAAAAAAAAAAAAAAAAAGAAAGAAGAAGAAGAAGAAAAAGAACGAAAGTTAAACGAAAGAAAGAGAAAAATAATAATATCGATAACGGCGAAAAAGAAATAGAAGATCCAAATCGACATCTTGATGGGAAAACGTCGATGTGTATTATACGAGATATGGCATTCGAGTGTGTCGTGTATACATACATACATATATATATATATATTTAATACGTAATGTACACACGGAGCTACTATTACACGTTAAGTATGTATATTGTGGTAAAAAAGAAAAAGAAAAGAAAAAGAAAAAAAAAAAAAAAAGAACAATGAAATATTCTAAAAAAAGGAAACCTATTTCAAGGACGTAATATGCTCAACATTTAAAAGGAAAAAAAAAAAGTACACGTATAAATAAAAATCCACCGAGCGTAATGATTATAATAATAATAATAATAATTATTGTATCGAGGAGTGTCAGGGTTCTGTTTCTGCGCCAAATTTTTAATAACAACGGGGGGGAAAAGAATTGATTGACGACCGGTGTCTATCTGCGACGACGTTTATTCATTTTGAATATCTCTTTCGATCAAAATTTTTCTTCTTTTCCTTTTTTTTTTTTTTTTTTTTTTTTTTAAAATAAAAAGAGAAAAATATCAGGAGATCAATACAACACTTTGAATTATCGTAACGAAAATCTTCGATCTTCGTTCTTGAATTTTACAAAATATATTCCAAGAATATAATCGTCGCCTAACCTTATAAAACGCGTTAAAATCCGAGATGAATAGATAAAATGAAATTAAGTTAAGAGAAAAATAATAAAGAAGGGGAAAATCGAAGTTAAAAAGTTAAAATAAAAACGCAACGGTGCCTGAAACGAATGAATTTCGAGCGTTCAATCCCCGAGGGAGGGTGGAATATTTTTTTAAGAACGATGCGGCAATCGTTCGAAAAAAAAAGTTTCTAACGAACCATCCTGACACTTCGCACATTTCTAAACGAACTAAAGAAAAAAAAAGAAAAAAAAGAAAAAAAGAAAGAAAAAAGAAAAAAAACAGAAA